TCATTCAAATAATCAATAAAAAAAATTATTTTCAAATCCTCTCAAATCCCCTCAATTACTCTTCCTCAAATCCACTCAAGTGATCAAGTCCTTAATATTTTATAATAGTAATCTTTTCTGATAGTTTTCTTTACAAACTGTGTAGCTGTTACTTGTCTTTTACTTGCCTAGTTTTTCACCCTCTCTTATCCAAACTCTGGCGCTGAAGACAAATAATTCTGATTGATATTGAAATCTGCAATTCGGTATACAATCACTAGAAATCAGAATCAGAAGAAGAATAAAACAATTGTCACAAAAGTCAACGGCCAAGAGCCTTGATAAAATCACAGAAGAGGTATATTGAGAAAAAGAGGAAGGAAATAGCAAGAGAGAAGGGGGAAGGAAAGGAGAATGAAGAAGGGAATAACACTACTAACCATAACAGTGATCGCGATATGTTTGGCTATGGTTAGCAGTGCGCCGGAGTCCCCACCATACACTGTGGTACACTCGCAGTCCGATTTCGAGATCAGGCTCTATGGAACCTCCGTTTGGATGTCTGCTCCCGCTCTCTACATTTCCTTCGAGAAAGCCTCCTGGGACGGTTTTCACAGGTAATTCTTCTTTACCCCCCACAAGAACTAAATGATAACTAACCAACTAACCCGATTTTACTATCTCCCAGGTTGTTCCAGTTTACTGAAGGCGCCAACCTCAATTTCTCACGAATCCCAATGACCGTTCCCGTCTTGACCACCACCGTTCCCGGAGCCGGTCCCCTCAAGTCCCAAGGCTACTACGTTAGTTTATACTTACCCGTTAAGTTCCAAGGAAACCCACCCCTGCCGCTTCCAGAACTCAATATCAGGCCCTATGAATTCACCACCCACTGCGTTGCGGTTAGAAAGTTCTCTGGATTCGCCAATGATGAGAGGATTGTCAAGGAGGCGGAAAAGCTTGCCACCAGCCTCAGTCGCTCTCCCTGGGCGCAGTCCAAGACTCGCCGTGGTTACTCGATCGCGCAGTACAATACTCCCATCCGAATTGTGAATCGCAAAAACGAGGTCTGGGTGGACATTGATGCTCCTCAATTAGGCTGTGAATCGGTTGGTATTTCCACGTATTGATGGAAGGGGTATGGAAGAATGGTTCGGTACTTGTGAAGGTGTTCTTCCCTGCTTCTTGTACAGGTCTGTCTGATGTGTGATATATGTTCATATTGTTTAACTGTCATGAAACATAGACTTGTGTTGTGTCTGTGAATAATAGGTTGCGTGAGATTTCTCACACGATCATGTCTATGGACAACAGATCGACTCGCTTGCACTGTGTCAGTTATGTTATGATGGGATCTGTAGAAGAAAAACGTCACTTTCTTTCCTCTTTCAACTGATCAATTGTTAAACTTAGTGACAGTGATTATTGGAGGAGTGTCGGAAAAGATGAGAAGTTGGGGAAATAGCTTATGAGAACTAATGAAAGAAAACACTTTGTAATTATTAGAACATAAAGGGACGATCTTGGTTGAGTTTGTTTAGGAGTTTAGCTTAGAGAACATTGGAATTTCATAACGTTTTTATTTTTACACTTTATAAACTAACTTGAATCAAGACTTTCTATATGATTAATTCTAGTCATTGAAAACAAGTTAGGTTGCATGGATTGATTTTTCTACTTGTTTTTTATCTTCCGCACTGTCACTTTTAGCTTAGAAATTCAATGTTGTCAAATTGGTGCTATCTAAAGAAAATAATTTAGACCAAGAAGTTGGTTTGGGTTGAGACATTAGGATTAACATATCGAGTCACAACTTTTCATGATCCATTTTAAGGACTTTTTCCTAAATTTCAGCCCAGGGTCTGCCACCAGCCATTGTGGAGGCACTTTCTGTATCATATGCAATTGTCAAGTTGTCTAAAATAAGTACAGCAGTGTCTGCAAGGTTACTTGCAGAGATTACATAAACAGAACCTGTAACAACTACTCCCCTCTTCATGTTTTAGACTGATACACCTCTACCATAAAAAAAAAGTGCACTTGATCTGTATGTTAGTCTTAATCATCAGAGGTAATATAGTTGCAGTTACAGATACCAACATTTCAGAGATTTACATTTGTTTGGTATCGAATTTTCAAAGATAGAGGATTCAAGTATTCACTCTGATGACTTTAGAAGAACAGTTATGAGCCACGGATTAGCCACCAAACCAAACTGTTCATTTCTTTGTTCAGTGATTGCTTGCTTAATCTAACATTTTCTGTGCTGAAATTGCTATTGTAATTTTCAATTAACACGTCTTTTACATGCTTAAAGAAAGCGGGGAAAGAAATTATTAAAAGCACAATGGAAACAAAAATGAATTAACTTGGCAAATTAACTTAAACTTAAGAGAAAAGTCAAATTTAAAATAATAGTTCATCAGGTCAAAACTTAAATATTAATTCAAGGGATTAATGTTACTCAATGTAAAACTCTTAATAGAGACAGTTTATTGCTCAAAAACCAGAACAATTAGTAGTTACTTGCTGTGTTGTTAGAAGGCTCCAAAGCCTCTTTTACTTAAGTTTTATTGCAATATGAATGCGACAATTGTTTGTAAATTCTCTTTGCTTACGCTACCTACGTATGACACACGGAGTGCAATATGACATTTTCATTTTATTTTAAGCTGAGATTGTTACGACCAAAAATACAGGTTATAAATGGTTCATATATAGACTAAATACGCAAGATTCTATTTCAAAATAAATCACACTTTTAAATGTGTTCAAAATTTCCAGTCTTTTTTTTTGTTGAAAAATCAATGTTCCAAAGTAATATTTTTGATAAAATAGATATAAAATCTATGAGTATCAAAGATGAGGTGGTTCTCTCAAATTTGAGAAAAATAAATTTTACACCCTTTATTTATTTATGTCATTAACGTGTTCTCCTAAATAATATATTTCTTTTCTTTCTCTTTGTTGTTTTTCATTTTTCTAATAACAATCGATTAAACAATTATCTACTCATTTTCTTTTATTTATCTTTCTTTCTTGAACCAAACAAAACATTAATCATATACAAATAAAATGTATTCAAAATATCCTGTATAATTGGTGAATGTCCAGAGTCTTAAAAATAAGAAAAAAAAAATGAAATAATTGACCTAGATGGAGACGACTCCTAAATTTTTTTTTGCTTATGTGATAAGACAAATAAACAAACGAATAAAGAAAATTAATAAATCAGATAAATTTTAATTGAGATTTCAATAAATTAGTTAAAAATATTCCATGAATATATAACATGTTAAAATTTATTTAAAAATAATATTTATCTATGATCTAATTTCCAAAAAAATTATTAAAATTGTTCATTCACAATTTTTTCATGAATATATGGTCAATCCCAAAAAAAAAAACATTACTTCATGTTCTACAATAAATGGTGTGAGACATATAAATTTTCTTTTTGATATATTTATAAAATTAAATTATTTAAGTGGTTATTATATTTAATGACATTACAATAGCTCAATGAATAGTTTTCAACTAATAGAAATTACTTGTTTTTATAATGGTCGAATACATCCATCCATTATAGCATCAGCCACTTTCACGAGAAACAAGTGACTATCTAGTTAATATACTTTATAATAAACTAGTAATCAATAAAAGTGGTTATATGTTTATTATCTTTATTAGTTTTTTTTATTGTTACAGAGAATTATATTAATTTAAAAAACGATAAATTTAATAAATAATCATTAAAGATAAATAGTAAAATAATTATTTTAATTTAAAAAACAATTTAACTTAAGTAAATGATCACTAAAAAGATAAAAGTTATAAGATACTTATTTTAGTTTAAAATTTTTAAAATATAATTATTTGAGGAGTAAAATTGAAAAAAAATCATGTATAAAAAAAGTCTTCTTTAATAATATAGATAATAAAAGATATGTATTCCTATTAGTTTTACATTTTATAATTTTATTATTTTTTATTTTCAAAGATATAATTTTACAATTGCAGATAATATATTTGTAAAAACTTAAAATATTTTTTTAAATTAAAAATTAAGAAAGATTTAATTATGAAAGTTAGTTGAATTATTGTTGTTTCATTATCTTCGATTTTAAAAATATTAACAGAAAAGTATTCTTTTAGTTATTAAATAAATTGAATATATATATATATATATATATATAATAAACTATTGATAAACCCATGAAAGGCCCATACTAACTCGGGCGCTAATATAAGTGTGCAAAATGATTTATGAATGATAATTAAATTTAGGTTTGGTTGAATCTTTAATTTATTTGATGATATATTTTATGTGGTGTATGTGTTTATGTGAAAGGATATATATGAAAGAAAAAATAGGTGTTAGTATTTTGGCTTGTTTTGCTCTTTAAATGGTCTGGGAACACTTTTTTTTAGAGACACTACAAAAAATAAGAAGAAATGTGCAAGAAGATAATTACTTACGGAAATTTACAAATCAAAGATAGTCATTTTAATTTTATTTCAATTAATGGCTTAAATTAACAATATTTTAATTTAGTTTCATAGATTATCAAAATTATATTATTATTTTTTTTATAGACATAATATTTACAGAGTTTATAACTATACAATGTTGTTAGTGTAATTTGTATATTCTTGACTAATAAAAAAATATTGCGATTAAGATTTTTACGACGGTTATTATCCGATTGAATGAATTATCATATACAAAAAATTAATGTTTGTGCAACCTTATATTTATCATTAATAATTAATCGACCACAGTTATCTAATATTTATATAAAATAAATAACAATTAATGAAACGATTGATGTGATTTTATTTTATTTTATTATGGTATATTCTCACTTGATAACTGGCACTACTAGTAAGAAGCATCTTTCTTAAAGTAGGGTTCATGTTAAACTATACATTTATTTAGTAATATCTATTTTGAATTGGAATCTTAATATTTAAACAACACATTACACATCTGACTAAAACGATTCAAGCCATACCTGACTACTACGAATAATAAAATTATTCTTATCCACTTTTAACATCCATTTTCGTTCTCCCTCTCCGATCCGAAACCCATCGCCTCTAACTCTCTCAGATCTCTCTTTCTAAGCCTCACTCAACACCTTCCGCGAAATTCCCCTAACCTATTGAACGTATATTCGTCTCCTTTTATCTTTCCTTTTCTTCGCAGCTTTCTGCAATTGCTTCGCTAGGGTTTCTCCGAGGCCACGGATTTTCCACTGTATGCGGTACACTTTCGTTTCCACTTCCAACTCTAATTCATCCGCGATTGATTACGGGGAAAGAAAGGAAAAAACACGTATTTCGTGGGGGATTAGAACTGGCATTTTTGCAACTGTAACTTTAACTGCTGTGGGATTTTATATGCATTGTTTTTTTTTTCTTCTATTGCGGGATATTAAATGGGGCGGTGTAAAATATGTTTTTGTCGCGAAAGTGTATTTTGTACAATCGTTTGTTTGTATATATTTTTTATTTTGAGGAATATAATGATTAAATGTCTTTTTATGGCGATTGTGCCTGTGAACCTCGTTTGGACCGTTTTCTCGGTTTTTGAAGATGTTGCGCATGTGTGATTTTTGGGCGTAACTTGCCTGTGATAGCATTGTTGAGGAGCGCTCGTTGTTGAAAGTTTGTGTTCCTCTTGTTACCTCTGCTTTTGGATCTCTGGTTTGCTGATAAGATAACTACTATGGAATTGGCGCATGATTTGTTGTGGTGGAATTGATTTGTTCATGGGCTTTTGGAATGTTATCTGATAGGCTTGGTATGGACACATGGTTGTGAGTTGTGATTGTAAAAAAGGGTTATACCTATGTTTGTCAAGTGGTGCTATAAAAAAATAGTGAGTGATCATGATCAGAAGAAAAAGCTGTTTTGTATTGGTTGATTCATTGCATGAAGATCAGGTCCTTTTTGTAGTTGTTTCAACTTTGAATATAGCAGTGTGATATTGCACTGGTGGAAAATATGATTAGAAACCCTTAATACAGCATTTCTACACGAGGTGGATGGGCTAACTGCAAACATGGATATTATTTCATTTGATTGTCCGATTGAGTAAAATGAAAAGTTATAATTGTTTATTGGAAATTTGATTGTTGATACACATGTATTTTGCTGCTATTTTATTGGCAAAAATAATTGACGGATCCTTTGATAGTAAGGAACAGCACGGAATTGATAGACATGCGTACCCTATACCCAACCGTCGCTGCTCCTCTTTCTCTTTCAAACTTTTCCTTTAGGACCAATTTCCTTGTTCGATGCAGTAATCTTCACTCGCAACCGCAACTCGACACGCGCAAGGTAACCACTTCTTTCTCAATCTTCCATCCACAGCATTTCACACTTTCTTCTCTTTAAGTGCACAATAACAGTTTAATGTTCGTTCAAATTCAAATGCATAATTTTTAGTTTAGGGCATATCTCCTCATGTTCATTACTATCTTAATTAAAAAAGAATATTGCAGTTAGTTCTTTCAGTGAAGGAAAAGCTTGAAAAAGAACACCATAGCCTCCCTGTTGGAAGAAATGGAAGGGATGACGAAGATATGATACTGTGGTTTCTCAAAGATCGCAAGTTTTCTGTTGAAGATGCTATTTCCAAGTTGACTAAAGCGATTGTATCCTTCTCGTGATTGTATCAATGTCCAATTTTATTCATAACGCATCACCACCGTTGTTTCAGGAGTGGGGTAAGCGAATTGGACTAATTTTATTTTCTACTTGCATGTGTAATTTGATCTGTCCGAAAATGAGCCTTGTTGACGTGTTCAGTGTGGACTCTAAACTTGGGTTTTGCTCTGATATCTTTTGACCATGGTGTGCTTTGAGCAATTGAGGTCCAAGGTCTTTTGAGTTTGGCTAACGCTCCAGCCAGGTTGACACGCCATGGCGATGGATGTATACATGTAAAAGACCCTCATACTTTCCGGTCATTAAGGAACCTACTGTGTCAATAAGCAATCCTTTGTCAACACACACCAGGGTGAAATCCAAGTTAAGAGGTCACCTCGAACATGTCAATTAGATCCATTTTTGATATATCTGAACTAATCTTGTTCGTATTAATGGGATTAATTTTCTTTCAAATTTATGCCTACTACTCATCTTGTTGCTTTGCTTTCTACTCTATAAGAAATGGCGTCAAGATTTTGAGGTGTCTAAATTGACCGATGAAACTGTTAAAGATGCTGCTCAAACTGGAAAAGGATATGTACACGACTTTCTAGATATTAATGATAGACCTGTGCTTGTGGTGGTTGGATCAAAGCATATTCCTATGGTAAGAGTAGAAGTGGTAGTTGTTAGTATTTTATTGTTCTTTATTGCTTTATATTTCTTGTTATTGTTATATTCCGTGAAATAAAACCGACTTGAGAAAATGTTAATACTGGCATGCAGCGAAAATTTGCTTTGCAGTGAAAGATATGAATGTTTCAATTTTCTGAGGATAATAATTAAGAGTTTGACGTTGTGCTCTGATTTGCGTTTGAACACCTATTTAGTTTAGAACGCTAATGACCATAGAGACAGGGACTGATGTTGCAAATTCACTGGAATGTGGGAAATGAGTAAAACAAACACTCTCCCTAA